GAGAGAGAGAGAGAGAGAGAGAGAGAGAGAGAGAGAGAGAGAGAGAGAGACGGTTGTGAAGTGCTCAACAATACTGTATTGGAAGCGAGAAATACAATTCATTATAATTCTTGATAACAAAATTCTTTGAAGTGTAAACATTACAGAATTGCAAACTTCACAAAATTGTTTATTCACGTGAAAAATAGTTTCACAATTTCTCGTATTATTAAATGTTATTTATTGAGTAAATTTAGGTTTTTATTGAAAGTCGAAACAGCAATAAGGGTTGGGATCACCAGAAGATTGAAAAGTAAAACCAAAAGGAAAGCAAAGTCAAGAACTGGGAGTGAATGACAAGAACTGATGGAAAGAGTGATGGGAGACATCACATACGATAGCAGACAACAACACTGATATCGCATAGAGCTATAGATTCAGTGAATAGTCGGTCGGGTTTTGTGTTTAAATTGCAATTCAACACAAATATTATGCTTTACTCTCAAGTATTGTATCGCTCTCTACAACTATTTATATGGAAAAACTGATAGATTTAATGAAAATATTTCTAGTTTTTACATATCATACGAAACACAATAAGAATTTGCCCAAAAAGAGCTCATAAAATATTTATTAACACCGAAGAGAATAATAATATTGTTAAAAGTGTTGTTAATCTAAAAGACCGTTTCAATGGTTATAGTGGTCTCTATTTGTTGGTTAAGTTTAGTTAATGGCAACAAATAATATTTTATTATTTGTTAGAAAAGCAAAAATCATTTCTTTTCGCTTCTTATCTACTATTTTAAGAATATTTATGACACGAGTGTTAGTCATGTAATATATAATATATACAGTATATTTGAAATGTTGGTCTATATGTGTGGTGTGTTTTGGATGCCCAGTGGCTAACTGTTTAATATGACTACTGGTCGGTCAGTTAATAATACGTTTTGAGTTATTGCCCCAAATATATTGTCCACTGCTATAGTGTCAGTCCTATAGTGGCTGTGATAACAGACAGTTATAATGCATTTCAAGTAACGAGAAATAGCAGTAAATCTGGTGTTATGTTTGCAAAACAAAATTGTCGATAAGAAAAGGGAGAGAGAGAGAGAGAGAGAGAGAGAGAGAGCAATATATTTCAACTATTATATAATTCAGACATTACTACAGAATACACTGTAAGATGGCTTTAGAGCCGAAAAAGTAATATTTTGCCAAACATTCAATTGACAGTATATTTATATAAAGTGGGTCTCAACACAACTATTCAACCTTTTAATAAAGTTTATATACACTCTGTTTGTCGTTCGCATAACTTCTTTCTCTCTCTTCTTTTTGCTCTTTTCTATCATTTTAATGCCTTATAGAGGAGTACATTATACTATACATACAGTACACACATCTCTTATATATAGAGTTAGTTTTTGTTATAATCAATGATTCACTTGTTTATTGATATTTGTTGACAACATTTACTCCTTTAAATCGGAGGCATTCCTTCATTTCTTTCTGTATAATTAGTTTCAGTCAATCATTTATTATACGATATATAACTGATTATTAGCGAGATATCAGAATCAGGAAAACCAATCACTCGTTAGACAACACAAACACAAACTCTAATTAAGAATGAGTTAAACCAAAAGTAAACCATAAGATAATGAACTGAAAAGCGATGTGAAGTAAACGACTGGAAAGTCATAATTTGATGTCAATGTTGAACAACAAACACCAGAAGGTAGTGATGATTGTGTCATAAGATGGAGATTCTTAGCGACCATTTCCTCTCGCTTTCCTGCCACTCGTTTCCGGACAATGAGAGAGAGAGAGAGAGAGAGAGAGAGAGAGAGAGAATTAGTAGTGATGTCAACGAGAAATTATTGCTAAAGCATATATTTGTAGCACTAATACCAGCTCTCTCTCTCTCTCTCTCTCTCTCTCTCTCTCTCATTCTGTCTCTCACTCCTCTTTTATCAGAAATAATAAAAAATGGGATAAATTGTGGGGAGAGAGCGGTAGGAGTGAGTGTAGGTCTGAGTGATTGGGATGAGTGGTAGGAGTGTTAGGAGTGTTAGTGATGCTAAAGAGTGAATACATAGTTAGACATAACAATGGATGCGAAGCCTTATTACTGTGTATTTGGTAACAACAAGTGAAATATCATTGTTGTGGTCAAAGACATAGTTTGTTGAATGACATGAAAACCATTGAGTGCATTGTCTGGTGTCAGATCCAGACGTCACCCGTCAGGGCTATGAGTGCTTTGTGTGTAAAAGCATTTTCCACACTAACTATAGCTATATTTTTGACGATACAAAAGCTTTTTTCATATCACCTAATAGTGACTCTCATCAGAACACTAATAGCACTCTCTCTTTATTATTGATCTTTTGTCCAGATTTTAGTCTAAAATGAGCTCTTTTTAGTCCTTTCAGTCCTTTCCCTAACATTACAATACCTTATTATGTAATGTACAGAGCGGTCGTCAACATAGCTATCCCTACTATTATAACACACTGTATATTCTGTACAATACTTTACTCTTATTCAGTGGGAAACAGTATTACTGTATTTAATACTGTGTTTTAATAGTAAATTGATTCAACTTAATAATGAAGAATAAATTCATTATGTTTTCAGTTTCTGATAATCACAAAATAATTAAAATGCAATTTTCTTTGTTATAATAAGCCTTAATATTTGCATTTCAAGTAAAGTATTTATATATAATCGTATGAAAAAGATTAAACACAATTATATTTTGTTGTGAAGTTATTTAAATTTATATTACAAGCAATTCAATGAATAATGAATATGAAAAGGACTGACTTTTTACGAACCAAACAAATAAAATATTTTATTATAAGTTCGTAAAAACTCGTAAATGAATGAAAAGATAATGAAATTAATCAAGAAATGGATAATGAAATTAATATTAATTAAGGAGTAATTCTTGAATATATTTAACGACTCCCCGGCGACGCAAACACTCGCCAACCCATTCAACTCCCCGTCTATTAATTCACACAAAATACTAAACATATCATCAATAAAATACTTAACATACAGAGAATGGATGAGTGAATGAGAGAGAGAGAGAGAGAGAGAGAGAGAGAGAGAGAGAGAGAGAGAGANTAATACTGTTTCCCACTGAATAAGAGAGAGAGAGAGAGAGAGAGAGCGTTGTAACGACTCGTGGATGGATTGATGCACTGGTAGTGAAGCAGTGAATAAAGTGAAGTGAAATATACTTCAGAATATATCATGAATTGATTTCTTTAGGAGGAGATCGGCCACCAGTTCCCACCCAACGCTTTTGTAAGCAGTGCTGTAATTGGCAGTTGAGACCAAACACTATTCTGCTATCTATTTGCCGAAACACAGCAATTGTATTGCTATTCAAAAGTCCAAAAGCAGTCATCAAAGTCTGATTCAACACACAAACCATTCAAACCATTCTTCTCTTCATTCATTTTCTACACTTATTTTAACGCAAATATTACAGAAAACAAGTGCACCATTCAATCCATTCAACTATTTATTATAAATATACTTATTTTATGTTATATTTAAATATTCGTTATTCATTACGTTTTATTACCTCCGATGCATGAATTTATAATAAATATTGTATTTTAAATGCAACACAAGTTTTATTATTTTCATTGAAAAAGTTCTCTCATTACAATTCAAGTCACTATCAATCGTGGTAAGTGTTTTCACATTTTTAGTTTAAAACTTATATTTTCAAAAATGATTTCCAAGTCAAAGGTGTTTCGAAAGGCATTAGTTTTAAAATTTGTTATTTTATAAATAAAACTTTTCGATTATATTTTATATAAAAAACTTTTACAACTTACCGGAAACTTTGTCTAAACTTTTTCGCCCCTAAATAGGGAGACAAATGTCGGGTATTTAGCGCTTTTGGCAGTTTGTGGGTTACATAGAGATGTAGTTTTCAATCCAATTTTTGTTGTGCATAGGAATCAATCATATGCTGTGATAACAACTTTGACAATAGAAATGATTACACTTTTAAATTTTTGGGAACTCTTTTAAAGCATTACTTTATTCACACAATACTTCAAAAACCTAAGTTTTTAAGCCAATTATACAATTCATTTATCAAACTATTTTCTCGTTTAGGTTTTAAACCTTATATTTAAATTGTTTTATTTATTGCCATATATTAGTACCAATAGTCAATCATTGTTAAATATGAACTTGTTGAATTATTATATAAGTAATATATTAATTAATTTAATGCATAATTTCATATGTAAATTATATTTTCAATTTTTTACATAATTAGTGTACAAAATGAATATGACATCAATTAAAGGCAATATTAATGATCACGTAAAGCGTCCGATGAATGCATTTATGGTTTGGAGTCGCGGACAGCGAAGAAAAGTAAATAAATTGCTATTTATTTATCTAAATAATAAAAAACTTTTACAACTTACCGGAAACTTTGTCTAAACTTTTTCGCCCCTAAATAGGGAGACAAATGTCGGGTATTTAGCGCTTTTGGCAGTTTGTGGGTTACATAGAGATGTAGTTTTCAATCCTATTTTTGTTGTGCATAGGAATCAATCATATGCTGTGATAACAACTTTGACAATAGAAATGATTACACTTTTAAATTTTTGGGAACTCTTTAAAGCATTACTTTATTCACACAATACTTCAAAAACCTAAGTTTTTAAGCCAATTATACAATTCATTTATCAAACTATTTTCTCGTTTAGGTTTTAAACCTTATATTTAAATTGTTTTTATTTATTGCCAATTATTAGTACCAATAGTTAATCATTGTTAAATGTGAATTTGTTTAATTATTATATAAATAATATATTAATTAATTTAATGCATGATTTCATATGTAAATTATATTTTCAATTTTTTACATAATTAGTGTGCAAAATGAATATGACATCAATTAAAGGCAATATTAATGATCACGTAAAGCGTCCGATGAATGCATTTATGGTTTGGAGTCGCGGACAGCGAAGAAAAGTAAATAAATTGCTATTTATTTATCTAAATACAAAATGAATATGACATCAATTAAAGGCAATATTAATGATCACGTAAAGCGTCCGATGAATGCATTTATGGTTTGGAGTCGCGGACAGCGAAGAAAAGTAAATAAATTGCTATTTATTTATCTAACTATAAAATTTGAACAAAACTTCTATTCTTTAATTATAGTTTAAATCATAGCTTTAATTATAGGCAACATTTAAGTATTAATTGTAAAGTATATTCATTACTTATTTACATAAATGAATTAATAATTAAAATCTTTTACACAAAGAAATTCAATAATAACATAAATGTAATTAAATTCAATTTAACAAAACGGGCGCAGAAATCAAATACATAATACAGTAGTGTTATTTGACTAGAAATACCATTAAATTAAACTAATTGTATATAAATTCAATGCTCGGCTGAATATTCGGTATAGAAAATGCAAAAAAAAAATATTTTCAATATTAATATGAATTTATAAAAGAAATTAATATATGAAACAATTTGACGAAATATGTAATTCAGATCGCGTTAGAGAACCCAAAAATGCATAACTCGGAGATAAGTAAGCGATTGGGCAATGAATGGAAGAATTTGAGGTATGCTTTCAATATTTTACACCACATATAAAGCCCACAAAATTTTTCCTCTTATATGACTTACCATTCAATTGAATAAATAAATTAATTTAAAATCATTTAATGTGTCGCCTATTGTATGGCAAAGTGATGGCGATAAGAGACCATTCATTGAAGAGGCAAAGCGTTTGAGAGCCGTATGTATTGTAAAATCTATACACATTTAATGCAAAATACAATTCCTTTGAATCAAATCTCTCTCTCTTTTTAAATATAATTTACAGACGAATAAACAAATAATATATTTTAGTGTTAGTCGTATTTAATGCTATTTAAATTGGCATTTCATTGCAGTTTACAAACTCTTATGAGTTACAAAACACAAAATTTTTGATTACGTTTAGTATTCACTGAGAAATGTAATTATATTTAAATCACAAAATTTTTGATGAATGAGAAATAATTGAATTTACAATTGAGTGAAAATATGTAATAATTGATTGTTTAGATGCATATGAAAGAACATCCCGACTATAAATACAAACCCCGACGCAAACCAAAGCATCTCATGAAAAAAGGTAAACCTCTAACCATTTGTGGCATCAGTTTTTTAGTTGAGCTCAGAATTGATGATCAAATCAACGATATCTCAAACAGACAGATACCCGTTTCCGATGCCTTACATACAGGCGCCTATGGATTACCTGGGCTTTCAAGCGGCTCTGCCTCGATCTTTCTTCCCACCGCTCACCCCATCATTAAGTCTCAATCCGTTTAATGACACTTATTTCCCATCGATTGAGACGAGTCGAGCCCACGGCCACGAACACAGCCTATTAGACCAGGCATTGATGGCCTCTCATCACCACAACCATCACTCGATCGGTGAGACCAAACTTGGCTTAAGCGGTAGCTTTGACGTGAAGAGTCTGTTGATGTCCGGCGGACACAATCACTGTCAGAGCAATGCGAGCGCCAACCATAGCATGTCGTGCACTTCGCCATACATTCCGTGCGGCTGTGGCTTTCCTACACCCGCACCCACACCGGCAATAGGGCTGCAATCGTTTGGATCGCTCGCACAGACAACGAGCGCCGCGTCGACCATACCGTCGACCTCGCAATCAAATAGTCTTAGTCTTCACCGATCCCTCACTAAACTCAATCACTCCTCCAATCAAAGAGTCGATGAGCGCAATAAATCTCACTCCGAGTCTCCGTCACCCCTGGGTTTCCGTATAAACCATCCGACGACCGCTTTGAGCAACAATTCTTCCGCGTCGTCGAGTCCCTCATCTCCAGTGCCCACAATCACTGCCTCCCATTTGTTGCAAATGGGACTCTATTCTCATTTTTTCTCTAATGGTTAGTCTAATTCACTATTTTATACACTACTATAGCATCCAATTTGTATATCATGTATACGTGTGTTGTGTTTGTGTTTAGCCGCCACTGGGATGAGACCCCTGAGCACTACATCCATCACAAGCCCTACAAAGTCATCCCCCAATACGTCTATATATGACTCTGGTATGTGATTATCTAATATTTATTTAATAACTTATACAATGAAAACCGCATATGTATTGACCGGTAATTTAAATCTATGCGCACATATTGTCAAGTGTTTTAGTTTACCAGTAATTTAATATAATTTTACAACAAATATCTGTTTTAAATGTCGAGTGTATTGTAAATATATTTAAGTTAACAACAAAAAATAAATTAAAAAATAAAAATGTCAAAATTTATTTAACAATATATTGTAATTTTCTTATACATCGGAATCTCATGTAAAGTATATATTAAAGGACTTATAAAAGTTGTTGAGTGAAGAGAAGGCGTCCAATAATAGATTGGTTTGTGATATGATGTCTACCTTTTTTATCTCTGATCTCACGTGTAATGGAATATAAGTGCAAATTAAAGACATTATAATGTCTATTATGTTCTCCACAAACATAACAATCACAACATTTTCCGACCGAAACATACAGTAATACAACCCCTAAACTATCAGTGCATTCAATCCCAGTCCTCAATAGACCTGTTTTTACTTCTTATATATTGCTTTAAAAATCACATCTCTCTCTCTCTCTCTCTCTCTCTCGAGTGAATGGAAAGTGAAAGAAACAAAATAATAATTAGGGGAAAAAGGAAAACAACAAAACTATTTATTTGAAAACATTATTTACAATATTAACCGAAAAGATTCTTCCGTTTTGTGCTCTGGTTTTAGTGTTGAGTCCAAACATTTAGAGAGGATATGATATGCGAGTTATCAGACATAGAAAGTCATATAGTATTTGATGGCTAACACAGAATAGAATCGCAAACTGTTTTTCCCTCAAGTTTTGTATCAATTTTGAAATCATGTCAATAATACACACAATTTTTCGGTGTATGTATTGTATTGAATGGATACATGCCTTGGAGTGATATATCCTTATTTTGATTGTGAAGCTTAGGTACGGGCGCTGGCAGTGAGACAGGCATGTAGTGAATGGTTGGAATGGTAGGAATGGTAGTTGGGTTTCATACGGCTTTTTATCAGAAACAATGAACATAACAGTGTTTGTGACAAAATGTCATAACGGAAACGTTAGGCGCGATAATGGCTGCGCATCCATACAATACCTCATAATACAGAATAACAATCATACTATCACACTCTACACCATGACATTGTTCACTATTGAAAATTGTGGTAAAATAAGAGAGAGAGAGAGAGAGAGAGAGAGAGAGAGAGAGAGAGAGGCTGGGAGAAGGGGATGAGGGGATAACTATCAGCGACACATTCACATAACAGTTAAATTTGTGAGCACTGATACCTCTATAGCTCTTACAGTGCAAACACAAACCATTGCAATCACTATTGCACTAAACATTAAAACATCACCGAATGTGCCATAATATTAATTTATATAAAACTTTTATATTCGCTTTTATATCTACTGTTAGGCATCAGAATATGTGCTCTAAAAACACACACAGACACAGAATATAGCGATATATTCATTCTCACCGCTATTATTATGCCTTCAGGCGATTTGAGACAATATTTTTTCCAATTCTTTTATGTTTTTCTCTATTTTTTACATTTTTTTATTTGAATAAACTTTTATTATAACAGAGTAGTAGTGAAGTACAGAATAGCAAAGCCTCTATTCTTTATGTATCGCTATTTTTCTATAGACTATAAACACATTTGCATTGGCTTTCAATTATGTTTAGCTCACAATCAAAGCTATCTCAACATCTATTTAATAAATATAAGCAATTATTTCCTTAAACTGTTTGGTTTATTATGAGCTCAAGTTTTGAGGCGATTACGACTTTTTCAATGCAATCGTACGCTAAATGAAAAACTGAAGAATTATTTATGTGTTATTCTCTGTAAACAAAGAATTAATGAAATCAAAAACAAAAAGAGAGGACGACTTCGGAAAATCAATTATAAAAACTCACGACATAATTGATTACGAGTTTAGTTATGCTTTACTAAACATTGTTAGCACTGTTTGCTTGTGTTAACATTGCCTAACTATTGCATACACATAACAGGTAGCACTTGTATTCTCTCTCTCTCTCTCTCTCTCAACCTCTCTATTAAATAGTGAACTCAAGTGACACATCACAAGAAGTCGAAGCACTTGTTATTCCTTTCACTCCATTCCTATAATTCAGTCAAAACTCACAAACAAAAATAAAGCAGGATTAAGAAAGACTTTCCTTTCATTCATATATTATATAAATTCAATCTAATTATTCAATCCGTGCCTAACAGTCCTCTCTCTCTCTCTCTCAACACTTGCTTTTATTCAATAGTGAATATAATTTGCAATATTTCTTAACAAGCAATTCATATAAACGCTCACAAATGGATTTTTTGTTAACAATTAAAAACTGAATGTTTAGATAAGGGTTTGAGGTATAGGACGAGTGAGCGCTGGGAGAAGAGCCAGAACTTAATCACACAAATGATTAATTATAGCCTAAAGCTGTTTGAAGAGAGAATACTTGCAGGTATTGCAAAGGATTGCTGTAAAAGCGAGTCTAACATTTACTGTCACTGGAGAGAGAGAGAGAGAGAGAGAGAGAGATTAATGCAATATATCACAAAATGAAATTTAGATATTAGATACAGCTCATTAGATATGTGTTGTTCACTAACAACGAGGTTAACTAAAACTGAAACACATACATGCTATATAATTTGTGTATTATTAAACGAGCTAAAAATATTCACTCTCACATACACTATACATATCCATTAGACACGGAATTTGCGGAATATTTACCATAATATATAATGTTTTAATAAAATAATTAGATTATAGTGAGTGTCAAAAACATGTTCACATGTATTCATGGGTGCCATACGGCCAGTGATGAACTGACATTATATGCCGGACCCAAAAAATGTCTGAAATGTATGCAATGTTTGGTGGAGAGAGAGAGAGAGAGAGAGAGAGAGAGAGAGAGAGAGAGAGANAGAGAGAGAGAGAGAGAGAGAGAGAGAGAGAGAGACTAATGAAATCAGCAAATAATTTGGTTTTATATATTATACACAAGATTAGCATAGTTTTGGGTGAAAGACATTGTTTTCATGTGGTAATAGTCAGTGAATATTGGTCTTGATATCCAAGCCTTTACCAACACATCTCTCCTACCCGTACGATATACAGGCCATACAAATACACTGTACAAAACCGATTGCAAATCTCGTGTGGGTCTCGCAAATTGGCTTAACCAGCAATCCTGGTGAGAGAGAGAGAGAGAGAGAGAGAGAGAGAGAGAGAGAGAGAGAGAGCTAATTTTGTGTAACACTCGGCACTTACTGACTACCATTGCCTTTCAATACAGTATTTAACAACATAAGAGAGAGAGAGAGAGAGAGAGAGAGAGAAAGAGAGAGAGACTAATGAAATCAGCAAATAATTTGGTTTTATTTATTATACACAAGATTAGCATAGTTTTGGGTGAAAGACATTGTTTTCATGTGGTAATAGTCAGTGAATATTGGTCTTGATATCCAGGCCTTTACCAACACATCTCTCCTACCCGTACAATATACAGGCCATACAAATACACTGTACAAAACCGATTGCAAATCTCGTGTGGGTCTCGCAAATTGGCTTAACCAGCAATCCTGGTGTGAGTGAGTGAGAGAGAGAGAGCTAATTTTGTGTAACACTCGGCACTTACTGACTACCATTGCCTTTCAATACAGTATTTAACAACATGTAGTGATGATAATAAAGCCATTGAACAGCAGTGGTATACAACTGACTAGTAATTCACTAAAATTATTTCACGTATATATCTGTGGTGTTAAACATAGGAGAGAGAGGGAGAGAGAGAGAGAGAGAGAGAGAACAAGACCAATATTCACTGACTGCCAGTATATCTCACTCACTATTGTTGGTAAACACATACAGTGAGAGAGAGAGAGAGAGAGAGAGAGAGAGAGAGAGAGAGAGTCGTTAAGTTTCTCGGCCACTGCTAATATCAATTCACTACCAACTCGTTAATAGCAAATGTGAGAGAGTTGTTGGGTTGTGATGGCTATACAAAAGCAAATTTATCTATCATGTTTAACTATTGGTGCCAATATTCACTGCCTGCCAGTATATCTCACTCACTATTGTTGGTAAACACATACAGTGAGAGAGAGAGAGAGAGAGAGAGAGAGAGAGAGAGCAAAATGATTTGATGTATAACAACATGATCAATTCATTCACTCAATTTGCTGTTCATCCGCTAAACACACGCTAATAATACATACATTTTACTATTCAATTGAATGCATAATACATACAATTTATACAGATATCTTACAATACTCCACATTTACGCTCATCACTAAAATGCAACTGTATTTTTGGCGATTGTCTAACAATTCCCATCACTTACTCTCTCCCTATCTATATCTCTCACTTATACTGATGGCCGGCACCTAACCCTACAGGCGCTCTCACCACCACAAATATTACCATTCAATTTAATTGATTGCTTTTTTGTGTGTTGCCTAAGCATTGGGTTAGCCGTATATATCAACCGTGATTTAAATACATTAAATACATGTGTAAAAAACCAATGGCTTTCAACGCGATTGCTACTCAACATACACTTAACTTTCAATCGCTCGCAAAACATCACACATATAACAAATAACAATAGCTATTATAAACTAAAAAATAATCTAGATAAAACTAATTAAAAAAAAGTATATATATTTTGCTTACACTTACCGAGGGTACATTATCGTTGGTACAACAGCCCTCGCTGAGTAGCCGGTCCCGAATCTCCCAGGCAAATATTGACGGACACTCGCGCTTATAGTGTGCTATTTTGCTGACCACGTCGTTGGTGGCCACCCGGGGCTTACTGCCCCCAATGGCCCTAGGTCGTATCGAGCCGGTCTCGTAGTACCGGCCCAGTATTTTCGATACACAACCGTTCGAGACCTAGATGTAAATTTAAAAATTTGTTAGAATATGATAGAAAATTGTAAATATTTTTTATGATGGTAAAAATTAATGGCAACAATTCCCATCACTTACTCTCTCCCTCTCTATATCTCTCACTTATACTGATGGCCGGCACCTAACCCTACAGGCGCTCTCACCACCACAAATATTACCATTCAATTTAATTGATTGCTTTTTTGTGCGTTGCCTAAGCATTGGGTTAGCCGTATATATCAACCGTGATTTAAATACATTAAATACATGTGTAAAAAACCAATGGCTTTCAACGCGATTGCTACTCAACATACACTTAACTTTCAATCGTTCGCAAAACAGCACACATATAACAATCAATATTATAAACTAAATAATTATCTAGATAAAACTAATTTTAAAAAAGTATATATATTTTGCTTACACTTACCGAGGGTACATTATCGTTGGTACAACAGCCCTCGCTGAGTAGCCGGTCCCGTATCTCCCAGGCAAATATCGACGGGCACTCGCGCTTATAGTGTGCTATTTTGCTGACCACATCATTCGTGGCCACCCGGGGCTTACTGCCCCCAATGGCCCTAGGTCGTATCGAAGGCCAGAGCATCATGGCCGGGTCATAAAAGCTATGTGTTGGCAAGCTCTGGATCTACATTTAAATTTTTAAACAATCTTATACTATCTTTTAACATTTATAAAAAATACTACCATTTTTAATTACCGCAAACTTGTAATATCCGTGATATATCGCAGGGTCGGGCGCCGCTATGGGCCAACTCGACTATTTTCTGTCGGGTCGAGTCGGGTAATGGCCGCCCGTTCACGTATACGCCGCCCAATTGGTTTATACCGGAATGACCTNCTTGTAATATCCGTGATATATCGCAGGGTCGGGCGCCGCTATGGGCCAACTCGACTATTTTCTGTCGGGTCGAGTCGGGTAATGGCCGCCCGTTCACGTATACGCCGCCCAATTGGTTTATACCGGAGTGACCTAGGTTGGTGGGACATTCAAATAATGCATGGTGAGTAA